GGGGGGGGGGGGGAAGTTCCACTGTGCTAATTAATTGCATATTCAATAACAAATTGCGAGATTTAAAAAGTCTTTAGAGAAGTACAGATCTGAAGCTTCTAGGCTGAAATAACATGTCAAGTTTACAGCGTATTTGGTTTCTTGGCAGAAAAGGGTTTCCCAGCAGAAGTTATCGATCAGCTGAACATTTGAATGGTTTTCCCTCATAACATTTGCCTTGATCAACAGTTGCAATATACCAACCTTCTCCTTCAGTGTCATTGCTGCTAAATCGGATATCCTTTTAACAAACGAAAATTCCGCCAACTGAGAAAGGATTGTACTTTTCTTACTAAAATTTCAGGACAGCGCAAGACCGCGCAAACGAGAAGCCAGGAGGTTCTTTTAGCGCAAAGAGATCGCATAAGGATTAGTGCCAGTCTCCCTCGACCGTAAATTCGCGGGTTTTTCATAGTGGTCAGCAGTATGTATTGCGGCTTTACAGAACCAAAATGGCGGAGTTCGGGCGGCGGAGGTGGAGAGAATCGGTACACGAGAAAGAGTTTATTCGTTTGAAAGAGATGAATTATTGCCCAGAAACTGTTGTAGTACATACTGCGTTTTTGTTAGCGGACATAGAGGCTGTCCGAGGTCTAAACGAGTTAGAGAAAGGCAAGGGCAGTAAAGCGATACAAATCGTTTCAGAGGCTATCGTGGAAATGACGCAGAAATCACCTCTTGACGAGAAAAACAATTTACACCAAGTGGGAGCTACAGAACTTGAGTTTAAGATCCATTCCTGGGTATTCTCCTCGCTGTTTAGGAGATATGGTGGCCTTGAGTTTGGCGAGTCACCCGAGGAAGATTATTTTGACAGCTTTCCGCCTTTGCCCCAAATTGGCGTTAGTTTTTACCTAGAGCTGGTGCAGGAAGTGGGATGGAGTGAGCTTTTGGTAGAAGTATGTAATTTAAAGAGCTCTGATACCGTCTTTGTGCAAAGTCCATAGGTGTATACTAACCTGCAGTGTAAAATTTTATTGGTCAATGTGCTATTTTGTGGTAAATAGCTACATAGATATAGATCACCTTTATTTAAACTAATAACTATAAGAGCTATAAGCTTGAGGAGTCTTGTAAAGGGACCTATAACTAAAAATTAAACATATTAAAATTAAATTGATACAAAATCTTGAGTCTCTGGCTGTTGAGGCCAATGTAACCATTCAGTGCAAAATGCAGACTAAAGACCCATTGCAAAATGCACACTGTGCAGACTGCAGGCCTGATGTTGGAAATTGCACAAAGCATTAGTGATTGTTGATTGATAGTGATTGTTGATTGATTATTGTAATGAGGATTGTTTATCTCAACTAGACAACAATAGCTTTTTGTGTAGGTTTTTAGGGTGCAGGGTTTTTATGTTCTTCAGTGTGGACTTTGAGCGCCGTGTGTTTTTGGGATCGGGTGATTAAAATCTGTGAATCGTGAAATTGTGAAAGTGTGGACGCCTTCCTTGTGTTTCCCACACTGATACAAAATGCATACTAGATACAAAATGCAGACTGCAGACCTAATACAAAATGCAGATTGCAGTCCTGATACAAAATGCAGGCTAGTCTGGTGATCCTTTCTTCATATATTTTGTTTTTAAACAAAGCATTAAGGCCATATTCATTCTTAAATAGAAATATTCAAGCCTTCGTGGTCTTCTCACTTCACTTGCAGGATGTCAGTCTTTAATTAACAACATCCAATATGATACTAAAAAGAAATTTAACAGCTATAAATATGCAATCACAGATGTTACATCGGTTGTTACTTATGTAAAATATATATAGGTATATATTTTATCTGAATGTGCAGTTCTAGAAAATATCCATACTCCCCCTGGGCACAGAAGGGATTGGAATTTCCTGGGGGGTGAGGCGTTCTGGAAGACCAAAAAATTTAAAGAAATCTATGGAGCTTAACTGGAATTTCCAGAGGGGTGAGGAGGTGTTAGAAAAAATCTCTTCCGTGGGGGAGGTATAGATATTTTCAGGAACTACACAATATTATTTTTGTTATCACAGTGTCTCTATGCCGTTGGTGTGGAAAACATAACATCACTTCTGGAGGATGTCATCAAGTGCCTTATCCAAGACCCCAGCTTTAAAGATCTCTCTCTTTTTCTCTGTCTTTTTAACTCTTTGTTAATGACAGAAAATCAGCATCCATCAACTGAGGAACAGGAGAGAAAACTATGTGATGTGCCTGGAACCAAGTCTCACTCATTAGTGTTGCTGGAAGGTGTAGCTAGCCTCAAAGGGGATTTTATCAACTGGCCAGCAGCACAGCTGGATTTAATTAAAACTGTTATTGACTTCGCCATTACAGATGTTGTTACTTTGAACTTTAGAAAACATTGTGCAAAAGGGAATGAGGAGACCTTATCCAGAAACTGGCTTGGTCAAAACTCTGTATCCTGTGAACATGGGACGTGTTCTGTAGAGGGTGATGGCCTGGTAGAAACATCAAGTGTGAAATCAATCCATAGAGATGATCTAAAGGCTCATGGACAACAGAAACAAATGTCAGACCTTGTTGTTTCAGCTGAATGTACAGCTTGTTTTGATTTTCTATGTCATGTTATTATAAATGATTGGAGAGTAACATCATGCTGGGATCAAGATGATCAATTGAATAGTATTGGTGAGATAGATTACAGATCATGGCATCCTTTACACAAGTGGATCATAAAACTTTATGCTGTGGCATGCTTTTTTGTTTTGTACTCTGGTGACCACAAGCTGCAGGAGCAAGCTGTGAGGCTACAAAATGGTCTCTCGGGGTATGTCAAAGAATATGCGACAGAGAATGAGCATACATGGGTCAATGGCTTTAAAAAAAGAGAATTGATTGACTGCAAAGAAAGTTGCTTTAAAGAGGAATTCATTTCACCAGTTGGTAAGCAAACAAAGTGTTACAAGTCATCTTGTTATCTCCAATGATATTTTTACAAAGATAATTCTTTTAGAAATGTAACACATTTCCCATGTTTATGTCATTAAGTTATAGAAGCCTGAATGGAAGTTTGAGAAAGGGAGAAATGTTATGAGAATATGAACTACTGATGAGTGTTTCCATGGTTTTTTGAAATTCTCCCAAACTTTCACACTATATACATGTAGGAAGGTAGTACTCATTACATTTTACTGTCATACTTAATGATATTGTTTGGGTGACTGTGGAAGACTCAAGGATAAAAGTCTTAGCTACTTTTCTGTCCATTCAATTTCAGGATCTGTGGATTTGTTGCTCTTTCAGCCAGAAACTATGGAAGAACAATTCCGCTTCTACTTACAAATAGTTGATGGCAGGTTAGAAGACTATAAGGAATGTTTTGATTGGTTACTGAGTGCAGAGGAATTTCACGGAGAATCTGATTGGCTGGAATGCATGAGGAACCATGCAGTTGAGATAAGTGATGTTCAACATGCTCTTAAAATGATTGACATTATCTACATGCAAAGGCAGTGTCTTTGTGCTGATGAGAAATCCAATGACACAGTCTACAGAGAAATGAAAGAGGTAAACTAATATATTTATGCACTGTGTGTATGTACTATAGATTTGTCTACATGTATTTATAAAGTGGGTGTAAGCTATTTTCGTTGATGGTAACTAAATAATGTGTGTGGTAAGTGTTAAACTCGTATTCAAATTAGATGGTTGGGTTTTTGGCTTTCAGAAACACAATAAAAACATAGTACTTTATGTCTCATTACATACCTTGCTGTAATTATTATAAATGAAACAGAAGTAAAAAATATCAGCTTTTAAAGTCCTTGTGTAAGCCTGACAGCCACAGGTCAAGAGTGTTTGAGATATTTAAAAAAAAAAATGAGAGAAAAGTAACATAAAGAATTTACCTTTTAATTATTGTTTACAAGTAGTTAGGTTAGGGAAGTTTTGTCCTCTTCAACAGTGGCAGCCATGAGTGGGTTCAACTTTTTACAGTCTGACCTTCTGATGAGTTCTATTTGACCAGCAAAATGCTGTGAAGTAATGTGGCGTGGAGTCAATGAGGCATCATCTTAGTCGTGGCAACCCAGCAGTGTCCTTTAGTACTTTAGGAATGATGATGATGATGATGATTAATCAATGTTTAATTAGTCAGAAACTATGTCATCTAGCAGTATCAGTAGAAAAACTCTGATGTCCATGGTTAGTAACCATTTTGTTGTGGTTTCAATTCACTTTCAGACTTTGTTGACTTTGCAATCCCAGTTGCCTTGTTCTGCTCAGCAACAGATCATAGAGTATGCTTTCTTCATGAGTTGCTCTTTAAGATGTCCTGAAAATGAGTCAATATTCTTTCACCCTTGGTTGGTGGCTGAGGAGAGAATGGCATTTCAGCAGGAGCTTGTTATGACCTTCAATAAACTGATTGACATTAGCGAGGAAGATCAACTTCAGTCATCTGCAATAGATCTGGCTAGAGCTGCACTGCTTTCAGCACCCCTCACTCTTAACAAGGCTTTAGAGGAAGGAGTTAAAAGTGCCGGTCACACAAAGACAATCTGTTCTGTAAGTTAACTTCTATAATCACCAGCAGAGGCTTGGCTTATTCTTTATGATTCCATGACTTAGTAACTCATCATTAAATCAGACTTCAAGACAATGGTTTAAAGTAATTCACATTAACAGGAACCAGTTAAGAAGTATGGATTGACAACATTGTCAAGATTGAAAACAAACTGGAATAGTAATCGATCAATAAGTCATCTTCTCTGACAAGTAGAAGATAAGGTCATTTTGTTTTGAAAGTAAGGTCATCTTGAAATGTAGCATAACAATCCACTTTGACCAGTTTCTGAAACAAATTCAAGTTAGTTAGGTTGTGAAAATATGAGAATGGACACCAGGGGACCAAACATCTAAAAACAATACTTTGATTTAAGAACAAACTGATCTGAGGAAGGTGATTACTGTATGATGTTATTAGCAACATGTTCAGTGGTCAGACATTGCATAGGACAGTACTGATGCATGCAGTTTATGGAGTCTTAAAAAAATAAACTTCAAATCCTTTTTTATTGCTACCAAATTGTGTCAGTAATAATTAATTCTGATCTTTAATTTGCTTAAAGTTAATATATTTGCCTAGTACCCTAAGGGGAAGCTCAGATACAAGCCAATAGTCGATACGTTTTAGTTAATTCTTCCAAATGATTTTTATGGTGTCATCATTGTTTTGATATGTTAGGTGCTGCAAAGGTGTCCTGTATTGTGTTTGTTGAGACATGACAAATCAGATTCCTCGAGAACACTACTTTGCCAGGCAATCATTACAGTCACAGTGAGTGTATCATCAAGACAACAGGAGAATAATCTGTTGAACATGATGGCTGCCTTTTTGACTGTAAGTAATCTGTTATTATGTCAGCATGAAAGAGGGCATGCGCTATAAGCTGGCATTTGTACTTGAGAAATAGAAAAACATTTTCCTTGTTTCTATCAAGTTATAGAAACACAAGTGTAAGGTCTTAAGAACATGAAATGCTGTGGCAATACAAGCTGACAGGCAAGTGTTTCCACAGTTTCGCCCAAACTTTCACGAGTGTTTCTATTTGACAATTAGATTATGATCTCGAGATTTCTATCGTGTGATGGTTGAGGAGGGTGCAGCATGAGTCAACTATATAACTTTCATAGAATCAAGAGCGAAATAATAATTAATAATCTAGTAATTGATTTTAAATCTACTGGTCATTCAAAACTCTCTCCAAATCATTTTCAGACACTTTAAAATGCAAATAAACATCCAAGTTTTTTTCAGTTGACAGTTGTTTACTCTGTTTTCTGTCACCTGTTTTACAGTTCAGTCCTACACAACTACTCAGTGTTCAGGAGTTTACAGAAGCCATTGTGCTACCATTTCTGAACAACAACAACATTCAAGGAGCTATTCCCACAGCCCTTGCCCTTAAACTTCACAACATCTCAATGGAAGCAGTCATGGCATCCATTTCAGTCCAACTTCCATTCCTCCAAAAACATGTGTTACCTATCATCCTGTGCCTGTGCGAGCTACTGAATGATTGCAATGTGTTCTGGGATGGTATAGCTCCAGTGCACTCTCTGTCAGAGATAGAAGAGCTTAGAGAACTGATACTCAAGGCTTTGGAGGATGAAATCAAGATTTGTTTTGAGGTACTCAAAACAAACCCTTCATTTGCTAGGGGTGTAGAATGGCTACAGAAAAGGCTAAAGAGTGGATTTGGTAATTAAAAATATTTTTGCATCAGTTTTAAGTTCATGATAAAATATAACCTGACCTTTGTCATCCTGTGATTGAAAAATACATATTCAGTGGTGAAATAGTATACCTGCCAACAGTTTTGGGAATCACAGGCTGGGGTGAGATCATTTATCCTGGCAAACTTACATTTTTTAAGAGGAACTAGTCGTATCTGAAAAGGTCTTGAAAAGGTCTGGAAATTTCCCTGTACATTCCAAAAATTTCTGAAGATGTTTCCAACATTTTCAGGTCCCAGTCCCAGGATGTGTTTTGTCAAACATTAAGGGGTTGCTAGATTTTCCCTTGAAAATCAGAGAATTGGGAGAAGTGTACTGTTTAAATGGACTTTACTTTTCATTGGTTTGAATTTATGTATTTTTTTATAAAGTGTGTTAGGTAAGGTTGTTGAAGCTCAAATCTTTCAGCAAGGCTGATGTTGCATCCAAGGCTTGAGAGTTGGCAGGTATAAGATAGTTGGCAATTATAAGGTAGTTGGCAACTATAAGATAGTTGGCAAGTATAAGATAGTTGGCAAGTATAAGATAGTTGGCAAGTATAAGATAGTTGGCAAGTATAAGATAGCTGGCAAGTTGAAGTTGGTAAAGGTAAAAGAACCCCTGTGTTTTCTGGCATTGACCAAAACAGACCCTTTTGTGATCCATAATGGTCTTAACAATTATATTCTTCCAATATTTAATGGATTTTTGAGTCAACAACCTGTGCAAAGAAATTATTAAGTATGTTCACTTAGCATTTTTAAGGAGATTTTGAGGTGTTCTGTTCCTTATAATATTTTCAATAGATTGGACTATTCCACTTCATTTGGAGCAACTCTTTAGTGCAGCATACATCACATACAAGTTGTCCATCCCTGACTGTTTGTTGTTGGTGTGTGAGGAGTCTAGAAACAAGTGGATGGCAGACTTGGAATATGGTAACAGATTACATTTCTCCTTTATCTTGAAATGTGGACTCTAGATAACATGTTTTGATTGGAATACTGGTCCAGGTTATTCTGTTGTATTCATGGCAAGGCAAATTACTCTTGACATGCCTCTCTCCACCCAGGGGTGCAAATCGTTTCTAGCAGAGTTCTCTGTAAGCTCTGGTGACCGGCTAAATTCACTGTCTAGTTGTCCTTAGCGCGCTGGCTGCTTATAGTAAACAAATTATGAAAGAATTTTATTTGTAACAATGTGAGTCTCTCCATGAATAAAATTAAGCATAAAAACAATATGTCTAATTTTCTCAACAAATACGTAGCGATTAAAAAATACAACTNTGAATCATTTGAGCATGATACTGTGTGACAATGGTTACCTTCTTGTTCAATGCTTGTAGAGCTTTGCTAAGAGCTAGTACTCCTTGGAGAGCATCTGATGACGATGAGGAAAGACTTTCTTTCTCGCCCAGGAATCCTATAACAACAGATGGTGCTTGAGACAGTCTAGCTGCCACCTTCAGAAAATCAGCACTCTGTGAACCCTTTGTTTCATCAATACCACTGGGACTTTCCAACAGTTTAGCAAGCTCTTCAACCTTTTGGACTGCACTGACAGAGCAGACGGATGCAAGAAAGGGTTGATCTGTTAGAGTGACAAGCCTTGGTTGTTCTTCCCCATGTTCTGGCTTATGGGTTTTGAAGTACTCCTCTACTGTAGTGTCACAGATGAACATGGAGCCGGGAGAATGACTGAAGGATACTGGTGGTTCTGTGTTTCAAACAGAAGAGAAGAGTTTCATAATCACTTTGACATTGATGAGTAAAATAAGTTGTGTGAGATAGCTAGAAAATCAAAAGAAAATGGATTCACTTGATGCCATGCAGTGGAATTATATACTGTTTCACTGTAGACCAGCAATTTTAGTTGAAAGTGTGCAACTTCTGCACGCAAAATAAAATGCCAAAAAATTCATAAAATACATTATAAATGAAAACATACCGTATATCTATAGTGAGCCAACAAAACTGCATGGAAACAAACTAGTTTGAACCCTTTCGCTAACATCTCTTCCCTGGATTTTTGAAAATACCTGATGGATAACCATCCAATGTGAATGCACTTGATATGCTTAAGCAACATTGTTGGCCCAACATTTGCAAGCCCCAGCTAAATGATTGCAACATTCCAATGCAACATTGTTGGGTGCGACATGTTGCGTGCATTTGGCCACCCTGTTGTGATGTGTTGCAACATGTTGGGCGTTGCAAATCGAACTAGTATGATGATGCCTTGATGCAACACTGTTGCACAAATCTGGCCTAAGGAGTGCAACTTCATGAAACATTCACAAATGTTGCATGGGGGGGGGGGNCAAAAGAGACATCATCCAGTGACCGTGACACTGAGGACGAACTGAAAAGGTCAAATACACTAGTCTGAAGATTAGGGACGGAGCATTTTTTTAGGGGGGGGGGTTGGGGTGGGGGTCGGGTTGGGCTGCTGTCCAGGGATGAAAATTTTTCTCGCCTTAAGGTTGTGCATTTTGTTTTGGTGGGCAATAGCTTGTGCAATAAATATTCTTTTTTAAGTCAAACACATGACCTGGATGGTGGAAAATACTTGCTCAATTTTTTTGGCCATGGCTCTACTTGCATGAACTCCTTTTAAGCAGTTTTTGCTGTGCAGGATTTTTTTTCAAAATTGCCCAATCCCAACCAAACAAAATAAAATAAAAAATGGTCTGTTGCTTAGCCTTGGCTGTTGGAAATAGACATTTCAGATGTAATTCATGCACAAGTCCAATTTCAATCAGGGTTTGGCCTGGGGGGAGGGAACTCCCATTGAAAAGAAGGATGCGGGTGCTCGTCAGAAATATTGAAAAGAACCCCTAAGAGATACCAAAATCCTGTTTTGTGGGTGTAGCTTGAAATGTTTTTCACCCCTAAGAAGTACCAATTCAAAAACTACAGATTGACTGAATGTACACTCTTTTCTTAATAAGATTAAGAAACTTCCCGGTGTAATTGAGACAAAATTAAGAATCAGTTAATAGTCAAATATCTCCTGTCATATTTTTTTGGCTTAATACCCTAAAAGGTTCTGTGAAAGCTCCTGCTGTGGAACTTTTTAGGCTGACCACCCTGAGGTACCAAACCACTGTTTGAACCCCTAAAAGGTATGACGAGCAACCCTGTCCTTTTTATACAGGAGTCCCCCCCAGGGGTTTGGTCACAGTACATCTACCAGCTTTGAGGCCAATTTCAGAGAGTACTTTTTGTGGATCAACAACAGATAACATTGAAAAGAAATTGCTAATTAATTTAAATCCCTGGAAGACCATAGACTGAGACTTTTTTAAGTCTGACTCACTTGCTGATCTCACCGCCAGAGACGATGTCACCCCACACGCCCAAAAAACAGGTATCAGATCTCCAATATCTGAAGGTTCCCCATAGTTTGTGGCATAGATATCCTCAATTCCTATCACTGATGGATCTCCAATATGTATTGGTGCTCCATGCACTGCGTCATAAGCAGCTGTGATGATTACAGTTTTTTCAACCAAGTCTTTGGGAATTGGTCGCATTGAGACAACCATAGGAGTGGCAAATGGCCCAACGGGAACTAATGGAATATTCGTGACAAACATGGACACGTTGCGGTTTTTAATGACATTTTGGAGTTGAATACCAGCATCTGTCAAGGCCTCTTCAAATGAGAAGCTACACCCGATATAAAAGGATGCATAGTCATCCATTGGATATGCCATCAGGTCCCCAGTTTTCTTTGTCACAATCCCATTTTCAGACACACAGTATTTTGGCAGATCAGTTCTGTAAGCATGATACAAGAATAATGAGACACTGAAGTGCTTCATACTACAATTATCAGTTGAGTAAGGCACTACGAAAGGTTGATGACCAGGTTTCAAAGTTCAGATNACATGACGTGGGCACTGAGCCACGACAGCAGCACTGAAATATTTGACAGTCGGGGTTAAGTTAAAGCTCAGTTTTTCCTCTGAAAATGAAGCGAAAAACACAGCAATCGCTGTTCAGTACCTGGGATAAATTGAAAAGAAAATTGAGATGGTACGAACAAAGGTCATAAGTTGTTTTCTTTCAAAAATATAATTAAAATTAGTTCCTTTATCTCCAGTGAATGTACGCGTAATTTAATTAGTTGTTTAAACACAACGACATGCAACCCAGTGCTTGGCTCGTACATGGAGGATTTTCAAGAACAAATAACTGCAAAGATTTCTTTCAACAAAAGAAACAAACTGCAAGATCTTACACAATCTTTAAACTCAGCAGCTGTAAGATGTTTGTGTAAATATTGAAAGTGAGATATAAAACTGGCGAGCTTATCAAGCAGGGAAGTATGAATGAATACATGCACTATTTCAAGGCTTCATTATAAAGCGAAACATTTGCAAAATATGTCAAGTTTAAGTTTGAATGTATTAATTTTATCACTTTTGAAATCATGAACGAAAAACCCAAACTACCGCAAAGGTTCAAAACATTGATGATGGTCTGCACACTTAATCAGAAAAAATTCTGAGCTTAAATCCGCAGGAAACTTCACCAAGTATCACGGGCTTGCGCTTGCAACGGTTACCAATCACAAGCTTCATCATGTTCAATGAATTCCACACCTAGCACTGTGTTAAAACCATTCAACACTTGTCTTTTAACAAAATAAATGTCAAACCTCAATCTAGTACCTTCAATCCCAGCAAAACTCTTCTGTCGTTTGGCTTTCTCATCTGTTTTTACATGCGTGATTGACCACAAAATGAGAACGTTTTTGACTTTTTTGATACTTTTTTCAAATTTGATACGGATGATGATGATTAACATGTTCAACTAACACAACACATTACATGTATGCTTCTCTCAGTGAATTTGCTTCTTTAACAAAAGAACTTAAAACCATGATTGCTTAAAATATGCTGAAATGCACTTTTTAGAACCCCAACTTCAAAATTTTCCTGGGGAGATTCCCGGACCCCCCAATAAAAGGTTNATTGTCCGCCGCCTACTCAAGGTTATTCTCCCTCTACTTCAAATTTTCGAGAGAACCCTGCTCTAGCTGAATTGTTAGGACAACCTGAATCTATTTGGCTAGAGCAAAAACTCAAATTGATGTTCTGGTGGTAAATTATTTGCAAGGGCTGTTGAAGAGCTCCCATCAGTGTCAAAAATAGAGGATTTAGTCTCTGATATTGTGGCCTGACTCATTCACATTATATTTGAGGGTGGGGTGGGTGTCATGAAGTAGCAAATACATCTAGTGGAGTCTAATCTCACCCCAAGTTGAGTGCGCCATTTTCGAGTTGCGTTTTGCCTCTGTGTCAAAACGAGTCTTTGTGCAAAACCATTCATATGAAAATGAGTTCTGCCTACAGTTTCATTTTCATGCAAATCAAACTTATTTTCATAAGAAGAGGTTTTGCACAAAGAAACAGACTCAATTTGAAACAGAGGTACAAGGTAACTTGAAAATGGCTTATTGTAAAGCAATGAGCTGTAAATGCAGCATCATTACCATTATTAATGATGTATTTCATCATGATGATGTTCTCTTAGTGTAAGATTTGGTGTATTTGCCAGATGCAGAGAATGTATTTACTGTGCTGTTCGAATACTGTCGTGTATCTGACTCAACCCTGGAATGGATTCTGGAAAATCTCGTCCCAAACAAATTAACCAGTGGCTTTGACAACATTTGGAGAAGTGTAGTGACTAGTTTAACACAGGTAATGAGCTGCCAAACAAGTCAAGTACTGAAATTTAATGCTATTATATCAGGTTGATGGGAAACAGGGATCACTCAGTGGTCTGAGAAAGCTCACCTCCAAGAAATGAGTTTATTGTTGGTTCTCACCTTGCTCCAAGGTTTTTTCTCTGTCTACTCCTGACCAGTTGTTCCCCCACCACAAATGCCAATATCTCCAAATTCCAATTTGACCAGCATAGAGGACCCACTCAAAATGCAGCTAAGGCTGAAGTGGCTTCCTCTTTAACTGTTGTAATTTATTTATTGTGTTATTTGTGTGTTAATCATATATGATCATCTTTGCCTGCCAGTAGGGGTACATAAAATTGTGCTTTGACATCTTTGAAGTGCTTTTGAACTAAGAGAACCCTTGTAATTACCCACTATTATCCAAGAAGTTTTTGAGTTGTCCTAGGAATTGAAATGTGGGACTTATAGTTTTGGATTGATTGCTGCATAGAAAGTCAAGCCCGTTTTGTATTGTTCCTGTTGTTATAGATTCTTCCTCACTGTACCTGGAAAGAGTGGAAGAGAATACTTGAAATGTGTCGACATCTTATCCAGAGAAGTATATTACAGGTGCTTATTCTAAAGACTAACTAAGACAAGTCTTGTATGTTACAAATTACTTACTTACAGGGTTGTCCTTTGAAGTGGACAGCTTTATTGTTGAGCATTGCCTTACCAGTAAGCTGCATGGGCTGACTAATTTGATACTCTTCGTCACCCAGGGAGATTGTTGGCAAATCCTAAAATTCACTGACACATTACTGGTTGCTCTGTAGAATACTGCTGACAATAACCTGGAAGTAATAGCCTACTATGCTAGCCTGATTTATAAAAATGGTCAAAGTTTAAGATATGAGGTGCCACCACTTGACAAGTTATTAAAAATACCTCATAATAATAATTATAATAATAAAGGTGATCTAGCCTGATTCACCAACAGCCTATGTGTACCTTAAGAAAAGCAGAAAAACTCTTCATGTGAAGCATTTATTATGTCCTGTTGGTCAAACAGAACAGGTTCTCACTGCTCTTGATGTTAAGTAACACAAAAAAATGCCACTTTGCAACAACGGTTGAAAAAATCTACCCCAACTTTCTCTTTGTAAAAGGTAATTTTACCACAATTGTATCATTCATAACAGGACAGCAAACCAACTAGTTTGGCTTTGCTCTTGGAGGAATGTATTTTGTCAGAAAATAACTATCCTAATATGTTTCAGGTGATAGGTTATGCTCCTGGATATGTAGAACTAATTTTGATAACTGCAGTTTCTTCACTTAGTTTCATTATCTCTCTGTATAGCCTGACTTCACAGAAAGTGTTCCTTGTCTGCAGAAAAAGGAAAGTAATCAAGGTAATGTTTGACAACAGTTTTGCTGCTGGTGCTGTCTTAATAAAAACTGAAATTCCCAGTTTTTGTTGTAAACCAAGAACCACCTACCCCACCCAATCTAATGATGGAAGTTAAGACAATATGGGGTAGGACCCTTTGTCTCACTTTAGAGGTTGCAAATGGGGATATTTGTTTTTTTGACAGAAAGAGACTGGAGCCAAAAGAGTTGCTATGGCAACAGCACTAAGGGTGTCGTTTTGTTTCTTTTGTGATGCACATTTGTGGTGCTAAGTTTCAAGAACACTGCTTTAGTATTTCCAGAGATATTGTTTATTCAGTATTTTACCATTTTT